ATATTGCGGGGTTTCACACTTTATAACCCTAATCGCAAATCAAATCACGCTATTGTCAGTAGACTACACGTTTCACAGTACGGGAGCTAAACAAGTGTCACTGTGTTACACACTCCCAATTCTCAGTTATCACAAACTCACTGATTATCACACTTTTACTTGTAACTCGCCGTTGGATAGATTCCAACTCTACTCACAGGCTGCTGCCTTGAGAACTGTTGATAACACACTGGCTCTCGCTTGCTGCTCAGCTGGCTTATATTCCATTCCCTGTTACCTGTTCCCCGCGTCAACAGCGTCGTTGCATGCCACGTAACAGTGTCTGCGTATAGCCTAGCAACGCTGTTACCTCACGCTGTCTTACGTCACCATGCAGAAGGGGGGGGGTGACGGAGTGCTGACTCATCCGCCACGTCACTGTGGCCTGAGTTGCCACGTTGCTGCTGGGTAGGGAGGGTTTCTCCGTTGCGCAACATGTCACTATATATATATAGTCACATGTATTGGCGTATAACGTGACAAATAATTTCACGCTGTATTTGATATAGTGAATTTATTCCACATTCGCTCTTACAATCACACAAATTTACAGATTCAACTTTACTGCCATTGGCAGTATCACAAATACTGGACTGCAAATGCTGCTTGACTGCCTGGCTGACTCGTAACTCAAGAACTTGAGAACTATAACTCGTGAAGTAGAGAACTTGAGAACTAACTGTGAATAGTCTTCGCTGCTCCTTATTTAGGCTTGTTCCGGACAACACAGAAAACAGCCACATAATAGGCATAATGTCTGGCGCTGTGTTGCTAGCAACGCTGTCGGGAGTTGTTTCCTGCTGTGTAGCAACGGTGGCATCCCGTGTTACATCACCGCGGGGTAGGGGAAGGAATGTTGACTTGCCTGCTACCCTAGTAACGACAGCGCTCTGATGGTGTTACGTCACCGCTGGCGGGGTGAGGGGTGTCCTGCATAGCGCAACACGTCACAATATATATATATATATACACACACATATACAGGGTGGCCCAGGAGGAATGTGCCAGACTTCGGGAGGGTGTTCCTTATGTTAAAGTATGCCGCTATAACCCGAAACACCTAGGTCCAAAGTTCAACGGTTACGGGGATAAGGGCCCGAGAAAAGTGTAGTTTTCTGGCGGCTCCACGCACTGTACCTGTCAGCTGGCAAGTCTTATTGATGTTTGTCCTTGAGTGTAGTGTTGACGACACACTAGCCGCATACCAGAATGCACAGTCAGCCATGTTACATCAGTGCTTGCCATTCATGTGTGATGTATAGTGCTTGGAACTCTTAATGACAACTATGACATGGTGTGCGAGTTTTTTGTAGTTCAATTTAATGGCTTCATGTCACTCACAAGTTTGATGTTACGTACATTATTAACATTACAGAAACCACATATTCCTGCCAGTTTTAATATGTATTTGGTAATCAGCAGGTGTGTAACACCTGTCAAAGTTTCACACTTCTCTGGCCATTATCTCTGTGTCATGTCTGTTTTTAATTCTTTTCTGCATTTAGAGATAATGTGTTCTGGTATTTCCTTGTCTTGCATATGGATCCGTAGATGGCATGATTATTACATGAAAAAAATACTGGGTAAGCTTTAAACCCTGTGGTTATAACTTTTTTGTCTAGCGTCTAATGACAAATGTGGCGTCATTAGTGAGATCATAGGATTTGTTTCAGGGTTTGGCTAGCTTTGCAGAATATGGGATCTTGATTACATGATTATACATCAGAGTGTAAGATAGAGACAGGAAATGGACTGACCGTATTGTCTTGCATATGAGTGACTATAGATGGAGTTTGGATTGGTAATTGGATATATTGACTACTTACAGGTCATAACTGCAAGTAACTATAACAGCCTCATTGGTTTACACACTGACTGCAGCACACACAAAGTCTTCTATGTCCTTACTAGTTGTCTCCTGGCNATACCTGACGAAACATACACGTCAAACCACGGCAACGGGTTAATACTATCCTCCACTTACATTCTTACACTCTGGCACATATCCCACAACTGAACTAAGCTCTAAACTTTGTCCTGCTTATAACAGCTTGGCATAGATCAACAGAAAGTAGCTCTTCTATTGTTGTGTGTGTGTGTCTTTTGGGGTTCCCATGTGATCGCTACTCAGCCAGCCCATTGGTATGCTGGCTGCTGCCTAGCAATGGGTATATACACCACAGCATGTTAAGAGGGACTGATATAGTGATACAAAGTGGAAATTTTGTTTACTGTGTTAAAGTATTTCATTATGATTTATTATTAAATTACACTGACCACAGTTTAGTCTATTCAAACTATGCCTAGATATGTAATTTAGCTTTTACAAGTAGTATTGTGGTCTTGAACTTGATCAGACATTTTTGTGAAATAGTGATTTCTGCACAGGATCACTAACAAAAAATAATTGCCAGAAGGCAGGTGTCCAATACAATTGTTGTAAGACGTCTGCAAGACCACTATGAAAAAACAAGTCTTTCTGGAGCTGCTGGTGGGACTGATTTTGTCTCTAATGGACTCATAAATTCTGCCTTAAGTTAGATTAATATATCAAATCTGTTCATGCGTTACATGAGGACACCTTCAGTATAAGATTAGTGAATATAATTAACATATAGTTTAATAAATGCTCTTATTAGTTGCCTTCCCTGATGTGGAGAGCTTTGAAATGACCATCCTGGACATGTCGCAAAAATAGTATGTTCACATCTATTGTTGCTGGCCACATTTACTAACACACAAACCCATGGAGAAGTTACCATGTTGCAAAACACCAGTGGAGGATCACCAGACTTGTGTTGAAATATTCAATAACATTTAGAAAATGCTGCGGAAACTTCAGGAAGGTCAGGCATGTCATTGTAAAGTATATATACTGGCTGCTCCCCAAATCACTTCATCTTGAGTACCCTCCAGTCCATGCCAGATGCAGTGTTATTGTGAGAGTGAAAGTCAGTGCTGTCCCAGCTTCGACAGTAATTATAGTTAAATTCAAGGTGTATCCAATCTACATTCAGTTACTTGTAATAAACAAGTTATTATATTATTTGAGTGGAGCCTTTGCGCTACACACATTCGAGTCTATGGCCCAGCACCAACCACTTCTCGATCAAGCTGACCATAGAACCCATGGTACCTCACCTAGGACACAGGGTATACCACACATGTATGTTCAACCATGTTTTGATGGATTCTTGTAGTTAAGTTTCACCCATAGGCCTGAGTTCTTATTGGCTGGTAGTGTGCTTCCCAAAAGAGAACACATAATTGCTGGGGGGTTATGCAAGTTTTTCTTTCACATTCCAACAGATTTTTAAGAGAGGGTGTCAATCCTGTGCCCTTTTTCTTTTTCTTAAATGGCTTGGAGCTGCATTGACTTGCCTTTTTGGAAAACCCTTAGTTAAGAAGAAACCCTATAATTTAATCTCAAGAGAATGACACTAGGTGCCAAATGTTTTTTATAATCCTCTGTTCTGAAAGTGATCCCAGGAGGAGGGTAAGCTAAATGGTACAACAAACCATTGTTCTTCCTTAGACCCCCTTGGGTGTGGCATGGGATTGCTCCAGGTCTAGGAGAACCAAGCAATATGAGACAGAAAGAGAAGAAATAGGACCCAGTGTATATGTAATTAAGAAGTAAACAGCACAGACAATAATGAATCCATGACATACAGAAAGCCCTTATACTTTTACAAACATGACCACTGATTTTGGTGTGGTTACTCAACCACATTGTGGATGATTACAGGGCTAAGGCCTAAAACTGGACAAACTGAATGACAGTAGTAAAAAGGCAAAGTTGTCTATGTGCTTCAATAATTAAGCACTACACTATGAAGATGTATGGGGGAGTGGATGTATAGATCCACGTTCTCTTTACCTTGGCACTCGCTGGAGGTGAGGGGTCAGCTTCATGTTCTGGTGCTTAACCCCTGGGGGAAAAGCCTATGGTGCCAATTGTATAGGAGGCAGGTCTGGGCAACGCAGAGAAGAGAATATTCTTGCTCTTACCGGGACTCATACTCTGACCTCGCAGTTGTCTAGCCTGTAGTCAGTTGCTATACCAAGTACACTACCTGGTACCTAAAGGGGAGAGGGTAGATATGCAAACAGCAGGCAGGAAGAGGACGGGAAAATCATATGATTTGTACAATGGTGGGTACAGGCTGGGCTGTTCAAGGAAGTTGTTTTCACTGAGCTGGGCAGGGCATGGCTCAGTTCCTGAAATAAACCCATCATGAGTGGAACGGATACTGTTGGCTGTGGTATTTGTTTTGGTACAAAAAAGGGTCTATGAGGAAGTTGGAGGTCTACTGACGAGGTTGACCTTTGTCTTCTCAAGTGGGGACACTCAGTTGGACTACAATTTAAGGTGATATCTAGTCTCTTAGAAGTCTGTCATTGTGTCCAAGTCTTAGTCTCTCACTTACATCCATTTATGTTCTGGCATTTCTTTCCTTCTGATTTCAATTCCATTACTTCTGTTACTTGTATTGAAACTTAAATCTTTTTTGAGGACTCTGTGGCAGTAACCAAGATACTGAAATCAGTAAAAAAAGGTTACAATGTGGGCAAAATGGTACCCGCTGTTAGTTTCTCTGTACAGTGGAACACCTGTTTGAAGTTTGTGCAGTTAAAAGTTTAATATTTATGGTCCCAGCCCCATTATTGCAACCTTTCTTTTCATTTAAGGTTCTCCACTGTTTGGTATTAATATTCATTCTTCTTGGAAATAATCTTGACTGGCTGCCACAGTAATTTTCCCACTACATGAGTGAATAAGAATTTTTCAATAGTTCAAGTTCAGCATTTTTAGCTTTTCACCCTGATATGGTAACACAGTAGAGCTGATTATTCAAAATCTGATGGAAGGAGGCTAAACCACTTGGAAGGGTACTAAAATGAGTCTTAAAGAAACAGGGTGCAATGATGTGGACCAGATTCATCTGGCTCAGGACAGGGGCCAGTGATGGGCTCTTATGAATATGATTATGAAACTTCAGTTTCCATAAAGTGAGGGGAATTTCCTGAGTAAGCAAGCAGTCATTAGCTTGTCAAGCAGAATTTTGTTCCATGGATTTAACTGGGTATGAGAATAAGATTCAGCAGATTTAATGGCAATATTGCAAAGTGTTAAGATTAAGGCTTTGGATCACTAAAGGGTAATAAAATATATGGCATTACAGATTCTGAGTAATAGATGTTGGAGAGCCGGAAGGAATCACATTTTAAAAACATGATAACATCCACTGTCTAGCAAGTATTTATTTTTATGTACTTAAAAATATAATACTATATATTACTTTACACTTATGTTCAGTATGTACATAATATGATAAATAATGTGTTCCATCAGCACTTTTAACCAAGAATACCAAATCAAATACTAGTATACAGTCTTGTCCAAGACTGAGCAGCAATAACATGTGAATTCTTTAAAGAAATTATGAAATAAAAATTGTTTCTCACTTTGTACTTTTGGAAAATAGAAGTACAAGCACAACTGCACAATTCTGGCATGTACTGGAATTTTAATTTGGTAGATGAACAGATATACTGTGCGTGGATTTAATTTTCTGCTCTTTTTTAAATTACTCCATCCAACTGAGATTCCAACAAGAGGATATGTAGAGTTCCATCCCTGTAGAATTTGCTATAAACCTGACATTCACACATCTTAAGCCTAAATACTTTCTGGTACAGCAGTCCAAAGCATGTGGGATAAGTACTGAGATAAGCAGTTGCTTATACTGACAGGAATATATGCAATTCAATACAGACCAGATGATTATAATTTTTAGTTTTCTCTTAACCTACTGGTGATGTGTGTCCATTATCACCAGATGTAACAGACAGCTTAGTAGTGTAACTGTTATCATTGCTATTAGTAGCAGTACTGATAATATCAGGTACAAGAGCAAACATTTTTACTGTATATAAGCCTCTTGGGAAGTTGTTCTGTTTTTGCTCCTTAATGCAATGCAGTCCTGCCTGCTTGAGCAGTATTCGAAGAAGAGTAATCGGTCGGGTCACAGACGAATCTTCCTTGTCAACTTCAACTTTATCAGATGATGTCAGGTTTTCCTTCACAACTATAATTCCATTTGGTTTTAGGCCCCTCCTGTGAAAGACATAGTATATATCCATATGAAACAGTAAAAATTACACTGAAAATGAACTTTTACATAAAAGATTTTAAGAAATGATTTATGGCTCCTACTTCTTCAATAACTTTATTTTGTACCTTTCACTGACAGGTTAAAGGATTGTGCCTTCATAAATCGAACACTGCAAGGTTTACCAGTACCTCATTTTCCTCCTACATGGTAGTTCAAATGTTTAGTTTTTCTGTATGTGTGAATTTTGTATCTTGTAGTAAATAGTGTAGGTCTTTTCCAATATAATTCTTGACCCTACTAAAATGGGTATGTCCATTCTTACAACAAATTTCATTTCAGGAGATTGCATTCTGTTACCTGAAAACTGAAGGTTAGGCTCACCCAGATTGGGATATACAAGACTGGTTGGTAAGTCCATCCTGTCTGTTCATTAGAGTTGCTTTGTGCCTTAATTTATAGTAAGGAGAATGGTGAATAAAGTGTTGATGTAAATTACTTTAGAGTGTTCAAATAAGACAAATGTGTTACTTCCAATAGCGTGGTGATAATTTACTGTGTGACTATAGGAGAAATGGCACATTATTCTGTGTGTGCATGGAATCTCACTACTGGTTAGTGTAAAAAAGGGATCCCAACTTACCACATTTTATAAGTACTACTAGAACTGACCCCTGCCTTCAAGCCACCCCACAGCAAGTTTGGAAACACATTCTAATTCGGAATTTCTGAAATGAACGTTTTAACATGCGGTTGCAGTGCATCACAGTTCCGTTGTTACACTGTGTAATGGCACTGTCTGATGTCCCTCAAAATTCACCTTTTGCATTCACATCTGGAATTTTTCCTATCTTCGGTATCATCAGTGATGAACAAAGTGAAAGGTTCTATCAGGATGTATGTATGACAGAACAATACTATGAAGCAAGATGGGATCCAGCCATGGTAGGTGACTGTTCATTTTTGCTAAGAAGAAATGAAATTGCACATAAGAGGAAAAGATAATTTTATGTGGATTGAATTTTGAGACAAAATCACTTGCCTTTTTTTATCTTAGTGTCCCTATAAATGCTGGTAACTAATGTATGAATATCAGGTTTCAGTAATGAATAAATGTATATTCTGATTAAAATAAGACCATTATTTTAAATTGAGTAATGTGGTATGTATATTACATATCTTTGCATGCTAATTAAATGTTAGGGAATGACAAGAACACTATACGCAGTGAAACATTTTGACTGTTATTTTTGTAACCAGCTTATTTTGTACTTGGTATCAAAAAGTGTACAAATCTGTTGCACTGTGCTGAGATAATTAAATGATCTCAATGCAGCATTTTATAAATGGAGAATAATGAAGACAGAGGATATGTCTCAAGACTTTGAAGCCACATGACATCATCTTGAACTAACACATTTCCTTGACCACCAGTTGCTATTCAGGTTTGGTCTTAGTATATTCTGTGACCAGGTTACAGACATGTACATAACGCACATTTTCAGTATCAACAAATAAGTCACCAGCATTCAGTCTTGCACAATTCCAAACTTAACTGTCACATCTCCATTTATGCCCCATTCTCCTAAATAAAAAGTGTCTTAACCTCTGAATGAATTCTTGGAACGGGGACTGAAAATAGCAAGGTTTCTGGGCAGAGCATTTACTTGTACTTTTAATACATACTTGCAAGACTTCAAAAAATCAATTAAATCTTCATCTGTAAGATGCCCCAGCACCCACTGGCACCATATTAGATCATATGTCTTTGGTTCTGGTGAGAAGTCCTGAAGACCTGAAACAATGCCAATGCCCTAGAAACATGTATCATCATGGAGAGGAATAAAATTTTGAACTGCATTTACTCATGCATAAGTTTAATCCTGGTTGTAATTCCTTGCCCTCACAACAGTTTTTCAAACAGACAGTCTCCATGACAATTCAGACTGAGATTATTGCCTGGCGTATTTATTTGTTCATCTGTTATGCCAGTCACTGATTAATGAAAGTTTCATAATGCTGACCAGCTGTAAGGTATGAATTACCAGTGGTGACTTTCTGAATGAGGTATTAGATTGGCCCAAGTGGGGCTGTCCATTTAAACCTAAAGAACCACAACAATGTACCTCGTAGACTGTTGCAGACAGCACTGTTAACTTCTAATTTTTGTATCTTTGATTTTAATTTTTATGTAAAGAATGAACTTTGGCAATACACTTTAAGTCCTGCATATTCAAATTCAGAGGGTTCTGGGTCAGCAAGCCTGGCAAAAAGTCGACACAGTGCACTAAGATCTAATACTGGAAGTGAAGTCTGGATTTAACTAGCTCAGGGATGGATCCAACATAGAATGTGAACACAATACTGAACATTTATGTTCCTTGAACAATTGCTCAAGGATCTTGTACTGTGGACTTTGTATAGACTGAATACATAATGAATAAGTTTATATGGATTCAAATAAAAAGGTAAAGTTGTCCCAATGCTTAACTAATTAAGCACTATGCCATGAAGACATATGGAGGAGTGGACATATATATCGACGTTTTCTTGACCTCAGCACTAGCTGGAGGTGAGTGGTCAGCTTCACGCCCCTGCCGCTTTACCCTCGGGGAAAGTGCCCCTTGTACCCGTTGGATAGGTTGGGTGGACCCCAGAGCTGGTCTAGATGTGGAGAAGAGAAAATTCTTGACCCTACCGCAACTCAAACTCCAGCCGATAGACAGTTGCTATATGAAATGCTCTCTTCAGATATCTTGTTTAAAATCAAAAAACTGCAGAGTTGTACTAACAACAAAACTGATACAAGACATTCTCTGAATAGTATATTTATTTATCTGCATGCTTATTACATAATCACCAAGCTTGTTACTGTCACCACAAAAGCCATTAGACCTTGCTGGACATGAGGTGCACCTACAACCTGCATCAGTTATCAACATCAAAATAATTACTCTCTGAGTCACCATCAGCATATACTTCAGCAGTTTCTGTATCATGACTGACAAGTACAAATATCACAGACACTGATTTAGCAGATCAGAGCTTTCAAGCATTATCATGAAGATAGAACAGGATTTATGTGCCATCTGCTGAGACGCAGATAAATATGTGAAGCTCAGAACAAAACTGGCAACATGCCAGATTTGTCCAGATCAGCCTCAGTTGTAAAGATGGCTTATGTGCTGGGTTTGGCAGTGAATTTTTTAACATTACCTCCCATCTACACATTTCTTTTTAACTTGTCATCTTTATTACGGTAAAGTGCCATTTTGATTTTTCTTACCAACACAGTATAAACTTCCAACTTTCTGGCATATTCCAATAAAATTCTTTGCTTCTTCTAGGAAGGAGGCATTCTGCTCAACTAAATCAACTTTATTAAAGAAGCGTAGAAGAAGATATTTTGTAATTCTTCCAATTCCAGCTCCACAGTCTAAAGCCCGTTCATGACCTGGAGGATTCTGTAACTACATCAATTCAAAAAATTATGTCACATGCTTTTCCCTTTTATTTGTACATATTCTATGATGAAATAAATTAAATACAGTTTACTCTTCGATGCTGGTCTAGAAAACCGAAATTAATGGCCATGGGGATTCATTGCGCTGTCCACGTGACACCCTATATCCGCTAAAGTTGGCACCAACTTCACCGACAAGTGGCGGTCGCTTGTTCGGTATAGTTTGCTTGTGGACGAAAACCACAGTTTCTTCTTCTGTCTTGGTTAATGGACGGAACAGAAATCATGAACGATTAAAAAACACAAAATTGAAAGTTCCCGAATTTTAACTTGCACATATGTAGACATGTGGCCACAATGTTTAGTTTGGCTCACAAGGACTCTTGAGAATGACAGTGAGAAGTTTTATAAATCATCTAATAAATTCAACAAGTAATGACAATTAAGAGAAAAAATGGGCATGAACAATGTGAAAAATAAACAATTCATGTATGCGTAATAAAGTTTATGATGTATCTTGCATAACCAGATAACGAAGTCATGCCATGTGTCCTTATTTTGACAGAGACTTAAAGTCAAGTGTGATTAGCAATTTATTTAACACTGACTGTAAAATTATGCAGAATCAAAGGAAATATGAGGATTCTAATGAATATTCAGTTAGCAGGGATGGACTGGGGAAAAATACAGAAATTGTATAGATAGCTGGTCAGCTAATGTCCCCAGATACTGAAATTACAAAACTTAAAAAATATAATAAATAGCATTATGGATTGAACAGCTCAGTGTTGATAATAAAGATATGAAGCATTCTAAACTAAATATTGCACTCAGAATTTCTAGTACAAGATTATCTATCATGAATTGGGCTCATTAACTCAAACAGCACCACCTTTCTAAACCCTTATATATATATATATATAAAATCTTCTGAAATGGCACATTTACATTTCATGCTACTACTGAGTTTCTCACCATGAGGCTGATGCAAGTATCAATTCAAAATGGATGGCATCTGTTAGAGAAGACTCATTTAACTGATGCTGCCACTAATTAATTAATTAATCAATCAATCAATCTCAGTACCTTTCTTTATTTTGGAAGTGAAATAAATAAATATGGAAACATCATGCATTAAATTAGTAGAATAGTTCAAAGTGGTTCTAAATTGTGTGCGATTTGAAACATGGGGCTACTGATAAAGCGTGAAAGGACAATATACTAGGTAAAAAAGGTAAAGCTATCCTTGTAACAGGCCGTGAAGGCCCATTGGGTTGTGAGATGTTGAAGCTTCCGCATTTTCTGTAGATAATCAGCTCACAGGTGGCAGTAAGGCTGTCAGCCTTACAAGCTGGCAGACCTTTACCCCCCAGCAAGATTCCTGGTACTCATTTCTGCTAGAGGCTGAGTTGACCCCAGGGCCATAGTGTGCATGGAAGGATTAGGTCAATTGAAAAAAATCCACCTCATAGGGACTTGAACCTGTGATCTTCCAGTTTGTAGCATACTGCTTCAATCATGCTACTGCATGTCCCCTGACAATATACTAGACATACATTTAAACCAATACTGACATATGACTGCAGCAGAGATACAGACTTTACCAGAAGAGAAATATGAGCATCCAGTCAAAAGAAACTCAGATTATTAAAAAACTGTATTTGGGAAGATCAGAAGAAATACACTTGGGGAATGAAGGTGCGAATTTGAGGATTTTGAAACAAATGGATTTATGTGGTTTGGTCATGTATATTTTATGGGTATATACTACCCAGAACAGTATTGGAACTGAAAGCAAATGAGAATATAGTGGGTAAACCAAGTGAGGATAGACACGGAGAGAAATGACAGACCTGTAACTGTAAGGGAGAACAGGTAGTGACAGAAATTCTTACCCTATGTTCAACCCTTACAAGTAAAAAAAAACAGTGAATGACTTGCAAAATGCAGTGCATTTTCTTTATCCTACCTTAAATAATTGTTTCAAGAAAGACACTGATCCTTGTATATCGGTTTGAGAGATGATGCCGAAACCACCCAGCATTCCATCAACAGTAGCAGGAACTGCAGACCAGTACTTTGCTGCATGGGTGTAAAAGGAAGTTCTGTCCCTTCTTTCAGTTTCAGGAGTATTTGGATCGGTTGGTTCCATATCAGTCATCTCAGACTAAAAGAACTATATAACACATTCATAATGTTTGCACTACTGATAAGCATCTGATAATAAAACCTGAAGGTCAAGCACTGCTAACACCAAAGCCTGCTTGCCACTGGACATGATCCTACATCAGTTCTGTCAACTTCCTACCCTCAAAACCTACGTGTTCCTACCATTTCTCTTTATGCTATCCTCGCATTTATATCTCTGTTATGTGACAGGCTAGTGCACCCATTCTTGCTAAGAAGATAGTAATGAATGAAATTAAACTTATGAATATCATAAGTAACCCAGGATTAAGGCCTTATATTTGTAGACCAGTAGTTGCAAACTTTTTGTTTTACTGCCTCCAAATTTGTTACCTCCTGATCTTCAGGCTCAAAGTTTGGATATTCTGAAAGAAAAATGTATTTGTCTAAAGAACATCTGCAACTTTGCTGACACCCATCACCCTGATTTAGGCATAGACTCAAGGTAGGATGTTGCTGTGCTCTAGACCAAGGATGTGAAACTTATATGTGGTTACTGGTTGAATATGACTCTGGAAGGAATTCAGTGAACTGTGTAGGGCAGTGCTGCATAACTTTTTTCTTTTGGAGGGGCACATTACCAAACTACCCTTTGTCTGTGGGCTGCCCAATGTATGACTTTTCTTGGGCTCTTGTTAATGTGGTAATGAACCTTTGGGATCTATAATAAAATGTTGAGAAATTCTTGATTAGTCGAGTGACTGCTGGCTTCTCAAGGACTCAGCTCAATGGAATTAGTTATGTAGCTAGTTGGTAGAAAGAAGTCTCTCTTGTTGGAAATTATTTAAGAAATTTAATATGCTTCCCAATTTCAGGGCGCCTGCCAATGCTCGTCTTACTCACTTCGATTATGAAGATGTAGTAAGTAAAAGTAAAGGTATCCCTGTAACAGGCAGTGGAGGTCCATAGGGTTGTGAGATGTTGAGGTTTCCAAATTTTCTAGACAATCGGCTCATAGATGGTGGTAAGGTTGTCAGCCTTACGCGCCGGCTGCCTTTACCCCCAAGAATATTCCTGGTACTCATTTCTGTTATAGGCTGAGTCGACCCCAGAGCCATATTGTGTCTGGAAGGATTAGGTAAATTGAAAAATCCACCTCATCTAGATTCAGTCCCGCGACCCTCCGGCTTGTAGCATAGTGCTTCAACCAACTAGGCAGCATGTTATTTGAAGGTGTCTGTATCCGCCTATAAGATTACATGGTATCATAACCCAGTACGCCACAACCGGAAAATTACAATTTTAATTCTAAATAATTTTATTGGGCATCTATTGTCATGAATGAACCTAGGTTATGTTAGGATATGATTTTTACGAAATCTTGTCCATTACAATTGTCTGAATGCACAGATCAATCAATCAATCAATCAGTCATGGATTTCGATAGCACATACCATGTTAGACATATATATAAAATAAAACACTTTACCCTCTTTACTTACAAACTTAAGATTGACTAGCATAACCACCACAGATCAACCCTGATACAAGTGAACTGTTATTGTCGTTATTGTACTTTCATTTGTTTTCTAAACAGGATCGCCAACGCAGTAAGCAAAGAGCTGACCAATCGTCGGCCTGATGGCGTGTTCTGTGACCTAATCCATCGCCTGTTTCAAACATGGCAGAGATGTGTAAAGCGGATAAAATAGCGGCAGCCAGAAAGAAGGTGAGTAAGTCGTATGATTAATCATTTGAAGGTGTGCTATAATATGAATCTACAACGTAAGATTATTAATTGCTATTGAGGAATACTAAGTAAAATATTCTTTCCCCGACACGTATGTTGACACTACACGTCAACTAGATTGATGTGAAGGTAAACTGGTGGGAGTTCCATGTCATCAGTTGTGATCCAAAGGCATAAATGTTTTTTTTTTCGTTGTTTTTTATCTGCGCCCGGCGCCACGGTTTCAATTCCAGATTAGGTTATGTGCGATTTGTGGTGGTCAAAGTGGCACTAGGGCAGATTGTCCACTCCCTGCGTACATCTGTTTCCCCTACCAGTTCTCATTCTTCCAGCTGTTCCATATTCATGAATTATTTTGTCATTGGCGCCATATAGGCTCAACACAGAAGACGTTGAGTGTTGGTGTGATGGTGAGAAATGATAATTTCGCTTAACATAACACGTTTTTAATTGTTTTTAAGATACATTGATAATTTGCCTTTATGCTTCACGCCCTTCCAAAACTGTCTTGAAATGGATTACATGATAGGGTATAAATGCTCAACATTTCACTGTAGGCTGTGGTGTAGTGAATACATTACTTGCTATATGTTCTCATAGGCATGAAGTGAAGAATGTATCACAATTCCGAGAATTGTTGAAACATTTTTCGTTTTCTTTTTAAAATTTAACAAGCTAAGTATTACATATTTAATAAAATAACAGTCATCTGCACGCACACAGATACTGAAAATCATTTTACAGTTTGTTTTATCGGACTGTGAAGCTTAATTCTGTCATTTGAGGAGATGAATGTAAATTTCAAGTGGTAGTATGTTCTTTCAAAATATTTGTGAACTTCTGGACTATGTGACTTCACAACCAAAAAGTTAATATTTTCATAAATTATGAGAGTTTGAAAACAAATTGTTGAGGAAAACATTTGGAACTACAAAGGATGACATAAGTCACAGTTGGAAGATATTTCACAGCAGGGAATGCCATACTTGCTATATAACTTGATGGGGCAGAGACCTTGGGAAGCTCTTAATAATTCAGCTGGTCACGAAATCACTCACATGTGTGTTTGTCTTCTTTTCCTTTGGAGTTTTTGAAAAAAAAAAATTGAATTATTTCCCCATGTGTGTTGAATATCCTGCCTATTTTCTCCTCCTTGAATTCATCATCCTAACATATATGATGAGAGGCATGTGGTAGCATAGTTGATTGAGGCACTGTGCTACAAGCTGAAAGGTTGTAGGTTCAATTCCTGATGAGGTCACTGGATTTTTTAATTGACCTAATCTTTCCAGCCGCACTATGACCACGGGGTCAACTCAGCCTCTAACAGAAATGAATACCAGGAATCATTCTGGGGGTAAAGGGTTGTTGATGCATAAGGCTGACATCACCACCATCTATGACCCTATTGTCTAGAAAAATGTGGGAGCCCCGACATCTCACAAGCCTATGGGCCTCCACTGCCTGTTACAGGGATAGCTCTATATTAACACATATGATGATGGAAGTAAGACATTTCCTTGAGGTGGACATGTGACATGGGGAAACAAGAAATATGTCCAGAATTTTTGTTGTGAAACCTATGGAAACAGTACTGTTAAGAAGGTTGATGGAGAACAGAATGTGTGGATATCTCAGGATTATGTCCAATAGTATGTGTTGATATTAAAGGTCTTTGAACCTTGATATTCTGCTATGAGAGAGTTAGTTTGGTGTATCCTACCTTTAACAAAAGTTTGGAGTTAATGATTCTGACTCTTTGTATAGTTTACTGCCTTCAGTTTTAGTGTTAACTACCATTTGGTTGTTAAGCGGTTGAGAATGACATGATTAATTTTTTAAAATCTGGGAGAGCCTGGAAATGTAATATCTCAGTCTTCAGTGCATTTTGTATTGCGGAAATAAGAAAGTGACTTTTTGTACTTCTTATGTAAATGTAAACTGCTGAATAATATGGAATGGTATCATCATTTGCATTTTAATAATATTGCTTGTTAATCTAATAATGTATTATAAATAGTAAGAAATTGCCATGGTCTTATTTCTCATAACAGCTAAAATTTAGGCTTATTTTTCATTGCAGCTAAACTTGAGGTATTAACAGTTGAAAAGTGGAAAGACTTTATATATGTGTATTTATTTTATATTTTTCAGCTTAAAGAACATCAGCGAAAAGGTAAAGATAGTCACCCTACTGGAATAAAAGTCTCAGGAAGGAAAACTGCACCAAAATCACAGCTTGAAGTAGATGGGCGTTCCTTGGAGCAAAATTCAGTGTTTGATTCAGGGCCTGTGAATTCTGAATGCAGCAAGGTACACAGCACAGTAAATGTAGTTTACATATTCATAATTACCCATATTTTTGGTTTTCTAGGTGGTATAGTTTTTTATGTTTTTTCATTACAGATTGGAATTGGAGGAAGGGTTGGTAGTAAACTGCAAACTTCTACTGATCCATCATTAAAATTACAGAGATGCTTAGATGAACCAGCAGCACCTGAAAAAAATTATTCATATCATAGTCCTCCAAATCTCGATGAAATTAACGAAGCAAACATGAAAGATACGAGTACCTCTCAAAATGTAGTATTGAATGAAGTAGAAGAAAACACATTTGCAGGGTGTACAGGTAGCAACATTCTTTCTGTTACTTCCGTACCAACATATGCACCAATTGCTACTGTATCTCCAGTAACAGTGACTGATAGTGTTCTTTCTGGTTATGTGCATTCTTCAGACATTGCTACAGCAAAGGCTTTCTTTGAAAATTACTCTTCTGACAAACAAACTCAGCCATCTAATAGCAATATTGGCATAACTTCAGAGATAAAAGACTCAGAACAAGTCACAACAGTTCATCATCTATTTCCAGCTTCCAATAATGAACATTTAGGTGCTGCAGGTGATGCACAAAGCAATGTCTTTTTAAGTGTCAATGAATCAAATCCTAGCCAAAGTGTAATTATTCAGAATTCAGACACTGCTACATCACAAGAATCAATACAAGTTATTGACAGTGAAATGGACCAGAGTATCACTAATAATCAAACTGATAATGTGGTTACTCATGATCAGCATGGAACTCAAAATACTAGTGTTCTGTTATCAACTCCGGAACACTCCATCACTGCTATGTCTAGCAGTGAATGTCTTCGCCAGTTGTCATTGCGGATGAATGGTCTTATTGATGAATCTGCCCATGATGATATAACATATATAGAAGGCAATGTACTTGAATGTAGAAATCAAGAATTGGCTGCATTGTTGGCAATTAGACAGCAGCAATGTGAACAGATGGAATTGCAGTTGAAGGAATATGTAAGTAATTACAGCCTGTAGCAAATTTTGCCAGACAGCTTTCTTATTCTGGTACATGAATTTATATAGCTAGGAAATGTTGGACTGATAGTAATCATGTCTAATTGTGAATTCCATATGTACATATTTGAACATGTTGACTAGTCAAATATCACTTGTAGTAGGCCTGTGAAGATTAACGATGGGAAGTCATAATGTTTTAATTAGCACCATGAGAAAATAATAATTCCAAAATATTGTTCTATGTAGCCCATTTCCTGAGCTTGCCGAACAGTAAAATTTTCCTACACCTAGTGGACAGAGGGAGCACCTGGAATGGGCAGAAGCAAAATGGTGACATCAGTTGAGAAAGTGGAGGCTTGTGCTGTGATACAGTTCCTGCATTTGCAAGGGAAGTCTGCCAGGGAGACCCACGACCAGATGACTGCTGTTTATCAGGAAGGTGTACCATCATATGACAGTGGTCAGGAAAGAGGCGCTTTCCTTGTGGACAGACAAACCTCGAAGATGAACCCCTAAGTGGAAGACCATCTTTCTCTGTGGAACCGGGAATTGTGGCATGGGTGGAAACTTTCATCTTATCCAATAGGCGTATTATTATCGAAGCTATTGTTCATGAGATCCACATTAGCCATGGGTCGGTTTTCAGTATCATCCATGACGAGTTACACATGACAAAGGTTGCTGCGCGTTGGGTGCCAGAATTGTTGACACCAGTTAGAAAACAGCAACGGATGGATGTGGTAAAGAAACCTTTGCGGTTGTGTCAAGACGAAATGGTTGAATTTTTCGACTGCCTGATCATGATGGATGAATGTAGGGTCTTTCATTATGACCCTGAAACAAAGGAAATGAAGCAGTGGAAATATGCAGACTCACCGCCACCAAAGAATGCCAGATTCCAGCCGTTGTCAGGAAAGGTGGTGTTGAACGTGTTCTAGGATTGGTGGGTTGTCATCATGACTGACTATGCGAAAGGACGTCACCATCACTGGTGAATACTGCTGGAACCTTTGGAGAGAATTATGGAGGAAGTCAAGAAAAAGCAACGTGAAATGCTGGGAAAAGGTGTGCAACTTCTTCACAACACACTGGCTCATGTTGCTGATGCTGCCATTTCACTTGCTGCCAGTTTGGGATAAGAAATTCTCCCCCATCCACCATATTCACCAGACCTGGCACTGAGCGACTTCTTCATTTTTCCACAGCTAAAGAAGCCACTTCGTGGTAAGCGATTGCAAGATGAAGATGATGTCATTTCTGCAGTGGAGGACTTCCTAAACAGTCAAAATGAGACCTGTGATCAAGGTATCCAGCAGCTAATGCATTATTGGGGAAGATGTGTGGCCTTGCAGGGGGCACATGTAGAGAAGGACTAACTCATACAATTTCTTGCACCTGTGTCTCTTGTTTCTTCTGGGTGATAATTAAAATTTTATGACTTCTCCACATATATGGGTCTAGCCTCTGTAAACATACTCTGAACGAAGCTATTAATGATATGACTGCTCAGTTTAATCTGTTTTGATGGCGTTTATATAATGGAGTTGTTCCAGATGTAGTTATTATACACTGATTGGTACCACACCCTGATCTCTAGGATCGGATCCATGGTACACATATTCATCTATCTTTCTGTCTCTCTATCATTGTTTTATGAGTTTTACATGTTCATATACAGCCTGTTTTATAAAGATCAGAATATAATATTTATTTCTGTTATCAGGCCCTTTTACCTGCTGTTAGATGATATTATAGCAATGAATGGTGACATGCCTGTAATTACCTCCCACACACACACACACACACACCATGGAAAAACTAAGAAACTGAGGAATAGAATTTTTGTTGGCTGAATTGAAAAAATTTCACTTGGCAACACACAATGTTCTTCCATTTTTTTATACTCTGTAGTGCTGATGTCAATGCATTAATGATTGTGTTGAGTGACAGTCCATGTGAAAGAATTGGAAAATGGGAGGCTTGTCCAATTTTGAAAGAGGACAGATCGTTGGTGCATGTTTAGCTGGAGCACTTGTGACAAAACCTGCCACATTATTAGGTGTATCAAGTGCAAGAGTTTCACAGGTTTCATTGGCATGCACAACTCATGGGAAGACAATGTCAGTGAAGAGGAACAGTGGGCAAATTTAACAGTGACAGAATGAGATGATTGTACATTACGAAGGAGTGTTTAGAAAAATCACAAAAGTACTGAAGCAGAGGTGACAGCATCTTGAAGACCCTGTTTCCACAAAAACTATCTGATGTGAGCTTCACAAACCAAATGTTCATGGTAGGGCTGAAATTTCTAAACATCTGATTACTGAAAGTAATGCTCAGATATGTAAATGGTGGTGTCATGACCATATAGCTTGGACATCAGACAACTGGAAACACATTCGTGATATGGTCAGATGAGTTGTCCTTCACGCTGTTCCCTACATCAGGCAGAGTTTACGTTTGGAGAACACCCAAGGAAGCCTACAATCCATAATACCTGATTCCAACAGTGAACCACGGGTTGAGGTTCTGTGAAGGTTTGGGTAACAGTATTCTGTTGGTCCTATTATTAGTTTTCATGGCCGAATTACTGCAAGGGAGTACGTGAACAGATTGGGTAATCAGGTGCATTCCATGATCCAAACCTTATGTCCAAACAATGATGCAGTTTTCCAAGATGACAGTGCCCCCATTCACACAGCTGGAACTGTTCGGTCATTTTTTAAAGAGAATGAAGGTGAACTTCAGCATCTTCCCTGGCCAGTACAATCACCAATTTGAACATCATTGAACCACTATGGTCAGTTGCTAGAAAGACCAAGTCTGCTTTGGAGTAAATGCAATTGCACAGAAAACCCATGATACTTCCTCAGATTACCTTGAAAGAACCACAACTGTAGCATGAAACCCTGTTCTTTCCTCTAAACATCACTTGATGCCATGCTGTACTAAGTGATTAATATCAAGCAAATCGTTTTTCTCGTGGCAGTTTAATGCAAATACTTTGGGCCAGTCTGGTCAGTTTGTGGCATGTAAAGGGTTAAGCTTACTATTATCTTACCGCCCTTTTTTCCTCCTCCTTGCTTGCTGCTCACACCTTGGACGCCACTTCTCTCTTACCGCCCTTTTTTCCTCCTCCTTGCTTGCTGCTCACACCTTGGACGCCACTTCTCTCTTACCGCCCTTTTCTCCACCTCCTACCTTTTCCTTCTTCTTCCTCACACGCTGGGTCGCCTCTAGTAGGTTCTTTCTTGTTGCTAAATATCTCAGGGTTTATTTAAAAGGAGGGGGTTTTGTTGTTTGGTAGAGCTGAATACCTCTTATCTCAGAGCCTTGAACGGGCCACAACTCCGAAAGGAATAAATTAACACCACAATCACAAGCACTTTCAATTTTGGACGAATTATATTGAACACTTGTTAATCACTTTGATACAGTTTCAATGTCAGTAATTTTTATGTTTCACTGTTTCTGAATTTACATCTGTTTCTATCACCTCCCGGTTTCTGAATTTACGTCTGTTTCTAACACCTCCCGGTTTCCGAATTTACGTCTGTTTCTTACGAGTCCTGGCTTCCGAAAGCCGCTAAACCATGACGCTTCCTCAAACCTTCAATTCCTGCTTTCACCAGCGTCACTGCCCTGTCACACCCTTAAATTTTAGTGATTGGCTAATTTTGAAAAATAGGAGTATCTTAATTAGATATTCCTCCACTCCGCTTAAAGCTTACAAGTGTTTAAGGATTTTTGACTCCAACGTATTTCTGTCAGAAAGTGACAAATGCTTAAGTGTCGGTTGGGCCCTAAAAACTTCACTCTTTCTAAAGTTATGGCATGTAGAAACTGCCAAGTATGAATTTACAAAGGATTTCTTTACTCTATTCTTTAACACAGCTCTCACTAATAAACCTTTGAAGGGTGTCTTCCTGTCTCTTGTTGTAAGCTTGAGAAATCGCTTTCTCTTACATACAAGAATTGACCATGTTTCACTACCCTTGTTCACTGCACTTCATTTTAACAATTACGCTTTCAAATTTATAAAGTTGATTACCTAAAAAAAACATTGCGTAGCAGTGGAACGGTTACAATTAGCTGTCTTGCCATTATCTGTATTAAGGTTGCTGTCATTTTAGCTTTATGGCACTTCATTGATGAAACAAAATGGTGCCTCTACTTTTGTGGCTTCTGCGTGGAGGGGATAGCATTATTTGGATGTGACTCCTTTTGTAGCTGACAACTTCTTGGATGATTAACAATTGCCTGCAACATAAACTGTCTCCTAGTGCTTTAAGCGTTCAAATGGTAGCCATGGGTATTCAAAGTAGATGTTAACACTTTTTCTTAATATTCAAGAAGTGCTAAGTTCAAGCTCTGGTTCAAAGGCAGCTGACTTCCTGGCTGATATTTTTCATGGTTTTCCTTGGTATTTTCTGCCAGCAACTTTGTACGCATTCATTCATTCATAATAATACTGTCATTTGATGATGTCTGTGCTGTTGATTACACATTAAAAAATTAAGAAACAAGTACCCTGAGTTAATGATACTAACAATGTGTGCCCTAGATCTAGGCGCAGTTCAAGGCCTGTTATTATTATTTATGTGTTCAAATTAAATGAAATATTTTTGTACTTCTAGCAATCAGGAATGTGCCAGCTACAGATGGAGCTTAATCAAGTGCGAACTGAGTCAGAGGCTAAGGTATTACGAGAAATTGGACCAGTGCAGGAACAGCTGCAACTACATGTGCAGACAGTTGGAATCCTTGTAGGAGAAAAAACTGAACTGCAAGCAGCACTCACAAAGAGCCAGAATATAGCAAAGCAGAAAGCTAGTAAGTGCAGTCACTGGCCTCTCATATAATGGTCGTCATTAACATCACAGATTAGATTCTGAGCCTTTTCTGGTTACTGTTATGAAATCTGTTCCATCCGCCTTTTTGATGGTCATCTCAGGCATCTTCAGTTTCAGCATCAGGATATAGTTTTTGGACATTCTTTCCAAATATCAGCTTCTTAAAAAGAGCTAATCTCCAATTTTGGTTTTATTTTGTTCACATACGAGCTAGCTTATAGCACAGTTCTTTACGAAACATATTGACAGTGGTATCTGTTGAGTTGCATATGAAATTACTTAAGGTAATGAATTGAATTGTTATGTAAGTCAGCCCTTGGGGAACAGGGATACTTGTGAATTTGGGAAAGAGGTTAAAATATTATATTTGCACTCCCAATCTTGAAAGAGTTTCCACAGAAATATTGACATTCTTAATTGTTTCAGACATGTTACAGCTGCTGTTGAGCAGGTGAAACGAAGTAGATCTTATTTCTTTTTCAGTCATGATTTAATCGAAATTTCATAGATTAAGTAAGAGTTCTTGAGAAAGTTTCTTCACTTTTATGGTTTACAGTAAAGTCATTGCACTTTGGAATTCACAGTCGTCAGCTACATAATGAAATTGGAAAAGATGAGGGTACTCCAGTGAATAATAATTTAATTTAATTCTGTTTAGGTGAAGCTGAAGAACTACAAGGTCGTCTGAAAGCATCCAGACATAGAGTTATGGACTTAGAGAAAGAAGTTTCTTCATTGCAAGAAACAAATGAAAGGTTAGAGAAAGTTATTCGTGAACTTTCATCTGAGCTTGATAAACAAAAACTTGAACACCAGATAACCAGTAAGCGGCTTATAGAGACAGAAGAAGAAATATCAGAATTGCATCAAAAGCTGAATACAAAAGTGAATGATTGTATGGCATTACAGCAAGAACTACAAGAAAAAATGTCTCAGCTCTCATTAGCACAGCTACGAATACAACAGGTATGTTTACTTTACTTTCAGGAAATGCAGTGTAACCATTATTGAACAGATATGGCTTAATATGAGAATTCCATTATAGTGACAAATATCATTGGTGCCATCAGTGTCTTAATGTTTTACATATTTTGGTATGCTGCGGGAAAGCAGGAATGGATTAGAAGATCAGGGTTGATTTCCTAGGCAATGACCAGCTTTCCCTCGACAGTGGCTAGGAATTGGAACGCACTCATGGCTAGCAATGGCAACAATGGCTAGCAGTCTAACAGTGGAGTTTCCACCATTACACACGAATTGTTCGAGGCAGTTGCATGGTTTCTAGGAAAATTCATAGTAATGAGAGAATACACTAGCTAACTAGTGAAGTTACCGCTACAAAGAAAGAAAACACTAGCAACCGGCAGGTAGAACACATGAAACAGAACCTTTGAACAAGGTGTCTTCGAGCCCTTCCAACAGCAGGGTATAAGGGAAGCCCAGGTTGGGATTGAGACCAGTTTACAATGAGGTACAAAGTGATATGAAGAGATTATGAACCGAGATACAAAGTGATACAAAAAGATTACAGAGATACAGAGAAGGCTTCACCGAGATCAGCAGTGCAAGAAGTTGTAATAGTTAAGGGGAAACATCTGAAGGGTGTTAATAAGTGGAACAACTATACTTGTGAGAGTAAAAGTGACTGTCCAATAAATATTCATTCAAATCCAAAACCCACACAATTTCTTGTCACGTTGCCTAGCAAACATGCGACAATATATATAAACATATACACAGTATAATATATATATGTGTGTGTGTGTAAAGTTCTTGCACAGAATGGGGATTATTCTGTCTCTTGTCATTATGTGTGATTTAAAACTGCAAACAAACAAACTCTGTGATTTTAGTCTGCAAGTGAACTGTTTTTTTAACATAACTATTTTCCAACTGCACTTGCAGTTCTGCTATTCAAGTTGTTCATAGCAGACAGTCTGTAAAAGTTTTCTTAATCTACCTTCTTGCAGCACCCTTGTGTAGAAGAAGAAGAAAGTACTCATTCCAGAATCTGTAGTATTGTGTATCTGAACTGACAATTTATTTTTCTTTCAGGCAAAATTACTTAGTATGTGTATGCAGACAACAACGAAAGAACATCAGCTAACTTGTCAAAATGTTAATGTAGTCACAGTAAGGGATGTTGTTTTTAGGACAACATTTAGCACAACTTGATGGCTTAAGGTCAGGATGCCTCAGAATTTAGCCAATGAAAGTGGTCCATCACTTGACATTATCTGAACTTTTCTACTGTCCAGCAATATGTTTTTGTAGTGTGTTTTGTGGCTAGTGAACGGGAGGTGGAAATATTATGCATGTTATTTCATGTAAGGAATTCAGGTCTACTTATGACAACAAAATGGAAACGTATGGTCTTGAATTAAATATTCATTTTCTTGGATATAACATGTAGTCCTGTGAAAGTCAGCTGACATTTGAGAAGAACATATCACTTCCATCTTTAGAGTTGCGGTGTAAGTCAAGCAACAAATCAGCATGAAGTAGGCAGCTTCATTACTCTTCGAGCCTGACGATGGAGGGTTTGAGTTAGATTACAGTAGGTTATGTAAATATGGGAAAATCTTGAACTCTTTGGTTCACATAGTGCCGAAGTCATTGGGAATATTGAATTACTCTTAGTTATTGTCATATCTCCACGGTACTCATCAGAATAGACATTTTTACAAATTTTATAAGTTCTCATTATATCAAGGTTGCACCATATTACAGTTACAGTCTTCCACAATTTAAATGTTATTCATCATTAGTATTGTAACGTGTTTCATTACTGAAGACGCCGTAGAGATGGTTAATTGGTTTATTTAACAATCTTCAAACAACGGCTACAATTACTTATCACACAGTTGCGGGGTTTCACACTTTATAACCCTAATCGCATTAATCTGTTAACACTGTTGCGGGGTTTCACACTTTATAACCCTATGCGCAAATGAGTTCGCTCTGCCTTCAGTAGTCTACACGTTTACAGTAGGGGAGCTTTGTATCACTGTATCACACGCTCACAATTACACAATCACTCACACGTCCGGTTCTTCTTTCCGCGACGGCTGCTATACTCCAACTGTAGTCGGCTGACTGGAGAACTGTTGATAACACACTCTCGTAGGCTTGCTCGGAACTATCTTTGGCGATGGCCACGTTATAACTCTGTGGCTGTCACAGTACAACTGAAGTCGCCGACTGCTACAGTAGAACTCGGTGGCTGTCACAGTACAACTGAAGTCGCCGACTGCTACAGTAGAACTCACTAGGCGACTGTTACTTTACAACTCGGTGGCTGTCACGGTACAACTCCCGACTGTTACGTTATAACTCGGTGGCTGTCACAGTACAACTCACTGTGAATAGCCTTCGCTGCTCCTTATGTAGCCTCGATCGGACAATACAGAAAACGGCCTTGTTGCCTGGTGCTGTGTTGCTAGCAACGCTAGCGGTAGTAACCGTTGTTACTACCGTAACAATCCTGTTACGTCACCGTTACGTTACTGTGCGGAGGAGGGGGAGGGGAGCGCTGACTCACCCGCCGCGTCACTGCTGGTGGGGGGGGATTCTCCTTTGCGCAACATGTCACACTATCATAAAATTTAATCGCACTTAAGGTGTTATTTTCAGGACGATAATTTAAGAAAATTTGTGCATTTGTTAACGTTCATGCTTGTAGCTCAGTTGGTATAGTGACTGGCTGCAGGCTATTTGGTCCAAGCATCAGGGTTTGATTCCCGGCAAGGGAAGGAGAGTTCTCTTTACTGTTTACTAGACATTGTCCAGACTGGCTCTAGTGTGTCCAGCTTCTTGTCCAGTAGGAGCTGGCAGCACTTTCCCTGGGGATGTAGTGGCATGGGTATGAGGCTGACCACTCACCTCCAATATAATCCATTTTTTCAGCAGGTCACAGTACCAGATATGGAGTCAACATCAGGTGATTGCACATCTTTGTTTCAGTGTTTGAAGTAATGTTCATTCAAAATGTAAAATTAAATATATTATGTTGCTTTCCATATGTGGAAAGAATGTAATACCCTCCTTTCTGTTTATACATAGGTCGGATAAAAAATAGTAGCTACACCTCTGTAGTTCTGAAATGACTTTATTACCTGAGGTAAACACACTTACATTCCTTCAATACAATCACCCCCAATATGTACCACCTTCTGCCAAATTTGTGGAAGGCGTTGTACACCATCAGCGCGTCCACTTCTGTTGATGTCCAGCAGTGACCGCCCTATAGCATGAATAATCTCTCTTATGTCGTAACGTGTCCCTGGCAGTGGTTCTTTCATTTTGGCAAACAGATCATAATCGCACAGACTTATATCGAGTGAGTATGGCGGATGTTGCAGTATCTCCCACCGCCAGTGGCGAAGGAGATCCTTGACAGCATAGTAATCCTTGCATAGTAATGAAGGATGATGGGGTTCGTTGCCAACAAGTGTCGTCGCTTTCTCTGAGTGCTGGACGAAGATGATTACGCAGGAAACTGCAGTAGTAGGCAGTGTTTACTGTCTGTCATTGAGATACAGTGTGGTGCGGTATCATTCCATCAGTGTCATATGCCACAATGAATATTGCCTTCGCATTACTCTGTGTAGGGCGCACTTTCTTTGGATGAGGAGAGCCACGATGCTTCCAGTCATTTGATCGTCACTTCAAGTGCTGTTTATATGAGCAAGCGAAAGTTTCGTCCAGAGTGATGATCCTTCCAAGGAAGTCGTCACCTTCCCTCTTGTACCGGTCCAACAAGTCCTGTGCAATTGCATAACGTTGCCAATGTTGCATCTCGGACATTGTATGGGGTACCCAACGTGCTGCAATTTTGCGGTATCCAAGAATATCATGCAGAATGTGGAGCATAGTTTTTGGACATATGCCTACCTCAGCAGCTATTTTTTTTTAATTGCTAGTGGGGTGGAACTAAGTCCCTTGTACTGCGGTCACTTCTGGCCTATTGTACCAGCCCCCGATGATAGGTGAGGGTGATTGTGGAGCAATTGGGGGCATGAAGATTGGCAAGGGAAACCGAAGTACTTGGAGAAAACCTACCCCAGCTCCACTTTGTCCACCACAGATCCCACTTGACTAGACCTGGGATCGAATCCGGGCTGCCGCGGTGGGAAGCCAGCGACTAACTGCTTGAGCTATGGCGCAGCCTACCACCTCAGCAGCTAACTCCCGTGCAGCCCATTGACAATCGACTTCCAGCAAAGAAGCAAGAAGCTGAATTTTGTGGTTGTCAATATGGGGTCATCCTGAATGGCATTCCTCCCTTCACGGAACAATTTCACCCATTGTGCCACTGTGCGATATGGCAAAGCAGCATCACTACATGCTTCTCGCAGTCCCTGATAACAGTTTTGCGCATTATGACCTCATGCAACTTCAATTTTTGTCCAGGAGCGTTCTTATTTTGTAAACATGTTGTTAGGGTACTTGAACTGGACTCCTGCACTTCAAGACGGTGCACAGTGCAACTCAATGAAACACAACCAGAGCCACTCACTGTACTTGAGCTGAACTTCTGCTATCAGCTACAGACGGAGCTAGTGCCACATGACGCACATCTTTCATGTTACAGCAGTGTTGCCACTACTTTTTATCCAACCCTTGTATTTATGAAACTGCTGTTAATACTGGGTGTGTGGAGCCCATTGTGTGCTGATTATTACTTAAACTTATTTATATGACATCTTTTCCAGAATAATTTTGTTTGTATCAGGGTGTTACCATTGTGTTTTTTAAATACACTCTCTAGCTAAGTACAGCAGACACCTCTGAAGTAGATGGACAGTTGGAGATATTGCATCAACAGAAGATCTTGCTTGAGAAGCAGGTTGCTGATCTAGAGCAGACGTTAAAGTCAGTTGGGTCAGAACGAGATCAAGCAAACCAGCAGTATCAGCAGTATGTACAGCAGCTGAATGGACAGTTGCAGAGCTCAGGATCTAAGGTACTGACATACATGTTAGTGGGTATCATATATCTTGTACATGTGGAAGCTTTATGTATGATAATGAAAACATTAAACATTTGCAATAAAGTGTTTCTCATTAATCAGGTTGAATCCTTAAGCTGTGAAAATGAGCAGTTGATAGCGAGGGAGCAGAGTTTGGTGCAGCATGTATCAGAACTGGAGAAGCAACTCCAGCATCTTCAGCAGCAGAACCAAAAGAGGCGAGACTCTTCTCCTAAATCATTACAGCAGGACTCAAACCTATTGCAGGAGCTTGAAGCAAAGCTTGAACTTACAGAGAGCAAGAACAAAGTTCTAGCAGAGAAGCTGGACTCTCAGGTACTGACTGGCATAATGAGCTTCCATAGCACAATAACTAACAAGCTCTTAGAAAAGAATCCATCTCAATTTTACTGAAGCCTTTATTTACTGTTTACTTTGCATTTTAATTCCAAATTAGTTATTTCACTTGCTTATTTGACTACTGCTTATACTATGTTTATTCTTGTATGACTTGAGTTTTCCAGTAACTTACTTTACTTTTACTAAGTGAACTTGTATAAAAAGTAACAGTGTACAAGTTTTGACTGTGACAGCATGGCACAGTTTTACATCCACAGACCTCTGAAGTTGGAAGATGACTCCTCTGGTGAATCAGCTGTCTGAAATCATGTTCTCTTTCAAGCCCAAACTCCCAAGAGGAATGTCTTCCCTGAAACAGGCCTTGTTGGTCCAGTTAAAAATCTGGGAGTTCACCAGAAATGTACATCACCCAGTGATATAGATTTACTGTGCTGTTTTAGCGCTTTAGGCCTCAGTGGCCATTCTGACAGCATCTTGATGGATCATCAGCTTGTCTTAGTTTTTGGCCCCTCCACCACACTGTTGAGTTATAGCTTGCATTAGCTGTCGAATCTTAGATTTCCAAAGACAGATGTAGCTAGAACAGCTAAAATTCCAGGAAGTGTAGCAAAGGTGCTACATCCTGTCCACACAGCAAGAATGAGTTTATGTCACTTTCTTTATGTAAATATGTGACTGTATGCTTACTCTTTACTTATTTGCTCTTAATTAACATATTTTATGGTACCCCTAATTGTAATGAATGGTTACAAAATCTGCTCTTCGAAGCCATCGTTATGTCTTGCATTCAAAGGGTTAAAACAGATTGCATCTCAGGTTTGATATTTTTAAACTAGTAACTTCGCTTTTTCTTTTCTTTTCTTTCTTCCTTTCTTTCTTTCTCTTCTTTTATACCCTCCTTCCCTGCTTCCTCCCTCCCTTCCTTCCATTGGATCAAAATATGCTTCCAATTACTGACTGCATTCGTTACTAAAAGTACACTGAATGCTTTGTTTGAAAGCTTGTTTCTTTGGCATGAAGTTTCTGTTGAGGGTGCTTTTAATGTGTAAAATAAAGTTTTTGTATGTTGATTATATAGATACAGGAGAATGAGAACATACTGAGAGAACTTGAAGAGAGGAGTGCTAAAATAAACAAGTTGGAATCAATGTTAGAAAGATTTGAAGATGATCAGCTGGATAAAAATAAGCTATTGGCAGCCATGGAGAGTGACAAGGTGGCTGCAGCTCGTGCCGTTGGCCAAAATCAACAACTGAAAGAGCAGCTTAAGGAACTGCAAGATGTCTTTGTTAAAATGGTGAGCTAAAGGTATATTGTTGAAACATCAGGAAAAGAGCTGAAAATAAATTCAGACATAGGAGTGGCATCAAACAATGAAGGAAATTGTCTGTATTTTGTGTAATGTATATTGCTATCATATGAAAGGAAATTTGAAGAAATACAGGAATGACTGTAAGGTTTTGTAAAACATATTCACACTTGCTTCATTTTAGAGTAATGACAAACTAGAGCTGACTGAGAGATTGGAATATGAACAACATATCTGTAAGGAACAAGAAGAGAGACTGGCCCAGCAGGAAGTGGAATTGAATGGCATAAGGTAAGGGATTCTTAGTTTGGTTGGTTGGGTTATAATTCAAGTCCAGAGTTGATGAGAAGATAACACCATTGGAACCTGATATGAGCTGTCTGATTTGCATGAACATCACATAGTCCGTTTCTGCAAATGCCATCTTAAAATATAGACTGCTGTGTTTTTAAATTAGGTGTCACTTTAAAATGCCAGGGTATTTAAACGCTCAATTGGGGTTTTTCATTGTCCAAAGAAAAAAACTACTGTTTGCGGATGTTGTGGGGGGGGGTCATATTTCATATTACCGAAAGTAGAGCTTGGTGGTATCACAATTTAGTGACTAGACATGGGGTTTAGCTTGGTTGTTGGATTTATTGAATGCTTTCCATAAATCGTAACACAATAATTCACACACTCTACTTCTTACTACAGCACACACAAAGTCTTCTCAGTGTTTTGTGTCCTCACCAGTCATTGACTGGTAGTGGTTCCAAACAATGTTCTTCTGCTGATATTGTTGCCAGCCTTGTGCCAGCTCACTACTAAGTCACGATCGCAGCTTCTTGTGATGGCGACCGATTCTCAGCTGCTACTCATGGTCATCATTGGTCTGTGTTATATGGCCTCAGGTCAGACTTAATAGAAATCACCAGTTCCTGCAGTTTCTGTATTGTGTTCATATCAATTGCTACAGAATCCATTTTTCACATGTTTACCACACAACAGACAGTTTCTTCTGGCTTCATTATCCTGGCTCTCAGGTCTCATGTCACATTGTGATACCATGCGTTTCAGCAGAAAAAACTCCATGTGGAAGGCACAAATCTTTTTCCCATTTTGCTGTTCTTTTTTAATATGGTCTGCAGTATCTTATCGGGTATTTATCTCCTTTTGTGATGGGTTTTTGAATGAGTTTGTGATTTCTCATTAGTTGGTCTTCCATATCATTCAGAGACATTGGAGTGACTGTAGAGTTAGAGAAATTGCATAATGATCAGCCTGGCTTATAATGTCTAATGGTCATTTCTGATTTCTCTGTTATTCTTTCTTCTGTAGTGTACAAATATTTTCATTGACCTTGAGTTGAGAAAGCACAGTCCAGAAGCCACTGTCATGCATTATGAGTAAATGCAAAACATGCTAACATCATGTTTCATGTATGTATAGGTATAATGAATTCTTGCCCTCTTGTTTGAGGTATCCACAATTTCTGCAGTGCTGAAGGTTCAAACTCTATTTACTAGTCATGTTTCTTGGAAGCTGAGGAGAAGTACAGCATACTTTTGTCAAAAATTTGCCCTCTCTGTGTTCAGCTTTTTAGGTTCTTGAATTAGAAGGGATTGGAATGAACAGTTCTGCACACCCTAATATTCTTATCAAAGTAGGCTTATGTAAGTTGGAGTTTAGTAATTGCCCTAATAAAAATGGTAATGCAGTTGTTACAGGCTACCATTGCCCACTGTTAAATCAGTGTCTTGTAACTAATTTTGGNTAGGTTAGGGCCAGCCATCTTGGAACTTGAACTGTGCTGCGAGATTAGTAGTAAAATGTGACCCTGAATGGAGATGATTGCTGTTTGGAAATTCTGAGTGCATGAAATCATATTGTGGTGTATACGATCGTGTTGCCAGGCAACATCTCTGTAAACACGATACACATCCGCAACAGTAGAGCTAGCTGTGTTGTCTGTGTATCCAGCAGTTGATGTAGGATTGGTGATGTCACACATCAACAGTATGTGGCTGTCTCATGACATGTATTTCCTGCATGTCTGTCAGCTGCACGTGTCGTGACATCACACAGCAACAGTTGGCAGGGGTAACGCAATATGTGTTTACTGTTGGTCATTGTCAGTCCCTTGGCTATATAAGTGAGTGACAGAGTTCTGAGTTAGTTGTAGAAGAGACAGAAATAGTAGCAGCGGAATCACTCAAACAGCGTAGTGGAGAATCTAGGAGGATTCAACAGTTGAGAGTACAAGGACAATAATGGAGTGTGATTTGTGAAGATTGAGTACAGATAGGACAGTGGAGTACAGAGTGGTTGAAGATGAAATAACAAGAAGACTTCATAGCGATTTAAAGTGATAGTTTCTGTGTTGAGATCTGTTGCTAGGAGATGACTAGTGAAGACGGAGAATCCTGATGTGTGTGTGACGGTGAACTGGAAAGTGTGTAAATCAGTGACAGCGCTGTATTGCCTGTATTTACTGCAAATAAGAGAGGTAACCAAGGTGCTAATAAATCCAATCATCCGAACTAGAACCCGTAGTTCTTGTCACGTGTACATCCCCACACATGACAATATAATGATTATGGAATGCCTTCTTTATTGTCTTCTGATGGACTCAATTTGAATATACAGTAACTGTATTTTTGTGTGCATATTTGTTGCCATGGGAACATTTTTACCAAGCTGTTGCCCAGAAATGGTCATTGTTTACAAAGTTACTGCTTGAATGAATGAATGATTGTATAAGGTATGGGCCTTCTTGGCCCTTGCACCATGACCAGTGACCTATTGTGCCTCCCCTTCTGATTATCCCCTCGACAATTCTGCGCATCGAATGAAGTGTAGGATTTTGTATGTGGGGACGTCAAAATAGTCACTTGGTTCCATAAAATATTGACCCAAGTGACGCAATCTCAAATAAGCTAAGGCCTCACATTTGCACAGGATATGTGTGGCTGTTTCATTTTCTTCTTGAAACCTCTCACAAGTTGGACTATTAGTTAGTCCCAGTTTGGAGAGGTGTCCTTTGAGGTGACAGTGTCCTGTAAGTAGTCCTACCACCCATCGTAGCTGGTTCCTGTTTAACTTCAACAGTTCCTTCACTCTTTTAGTAGAGGGTCCTCGTATGAGTCCCTTTGCTTTCTTGAGTCCAGTCAAGGATCCCCAGTATTTCTTGTGATTCATATTTGACCAGTCCTAGATTGCCTTTTTGGCGACTCCTATAGAGATGCCACAGGCTGATTCAGGTCCTATGAACGGATGTTCAGCCCCAATCTTGGCCAATTGGTCTGCTGTTTCGTTTGCAGCAACACCCTCATGCCCTGGCACCCATATCAGTTGTACCCTGTTATGTTTGGCCAGTTCCGTGAGAGTTTGGTGGGAATCCCAGACCAATTTGAGTTACTGCTTAGCAACAGGCTATATACCACAGTATTCTTATATTATACTTGTTGCATTTGGTGGACCTTACTACTCATTCATATATTAAGAAGTGTAATGGATAAGATCTCTTTTTTAAACAACTGCTTTTTGTGTTACAGAACCCAGCTCTTGCATAAAGAACAGCTGCTTCAACAGAAACCAGAACTTTCAAATCAGATGTTACAGCATAATCAGATTGCAGATAATATGAGGCACTGTGAAGCAGATGGAGTATTGAAGGAACTCCTACAGGAAGAGCTAAAGCAGGCCAAGGTAACTTAAGAGTGTTCTGAACAATGTAATAATTGTTTCTGTAACACAGCATTGCAGTCACAGGGGTAAGGCACCAGCCAGCTAACTGTGATTGCACATTTTTGAAAGATTGTTCTTGTTTGGTTTTAGTAATTTTATTGATGGGTTTGGCAGGAACATGTTCAGGCTTTAAGTATGCAGAACAGTGAACTCCGGACCCTGTTAGCACAGGATGCAGCTCATGACTCAGGCAGCAGCAGTGGAGACGACACAATCACTCACAAGGATGAAATGTTGGCAACACTGTCACTTAGTGTCAGGCAGCTGGAGCAAGAGCGTGACCAGTTGTTGGAACAATTGAAGCACCAAGAATTGCATGAAAAAACACAAACTTTATTGCAACAAAACTCACAAGGTGATTTGTCATTATGCTCTTTATCCCAGGGAAGTATTTTACATAAGCATGATGAAGTAAGAGGAGAATGAAATACATAGCTTTTTGACTTACACATGTCCCAAAGTAATGCATGGGTAGTGAAGTAAAGATGTCACAATGAGGTGGACATGTACCTTTGACATGAAAACAAAAAATACACCCAGCACAAACCATGTTGAAAGCTACCTTTTTCCAATAATGCGCCGTCCGCCTTTAATCTAAATAAGTGTACAGCATCATGTCTGAAGAGTTAATACTGCCCATAAACTTGTTGTAGGATGTAAGTATTTTTGGTTTTATTTGTGGATTGCCACCATGTCTGCCCCATACTTACCCATCTTGGGCTGTGGCGTGGGTGGAGAGAAGAGAGACAATTTTTTGTGATGCCTTATCACAGAAAACATGCAAGAAGGGGACCAGATCTGCGGTACATCTATTTTTGTCCAACTGCAAATTTGTTCTTTAACTTGTGAGCTAAAATTTCCAGTGATGTGGGTGCATAGCTGATGGAGATGGCAGACAAGTGGAACAGACATGAAATAGTTGTCAACAAAGACATGGTAGCCTTTGTTGAGGTACCCTCCAATCTCATACAG